GTTGGCTGAGCTAGTAAGCAAATTGTGCTCATTCTAAACTTCATGGCAAGAGGGGTACTGTAGGCCCTCTTCCATTGCAAAGCTTTGTTTTTTCTTTCCAGGGGAACTTTTGGTTTCCCTTTCAATCCTTTTTACTTTATTTAATCTTAGTGCTTTGTGCAGTCAGAATGTTCTGGGGTTTGGGCTTCTGAGATGGACCATCTTTTTCTACAGAACTTTATTCCTACTAGAAAAAAATTGAAATGTGTGATGGTGAAAATTGCTTCATTTAGCTACTCTCAGCTCAGTTCTAAAATAGTGCAATAAGATGGGGAAAGCTAACATGCACATTTGGAGAGGGGAAAAATAGGTTTTAAAAAACAATTTCTTTTTAAAATTTTCAAATGGAGGAATAAGAACTTTTTTTCTGATAAGTTTCCTCTTTAAAAAATGTGTGTTTTAAAAGTATTTGTTTTCAGAACAAAAGTACATTTAAAAAAATGAAAACATGCTGTACTGCTACTTGCTTTAGAGTGGTCTTTTCTTCAAGCAGTGGGAGCTCTGTGGTGGGACTGGGACCTCTGAGGTTGTATTTTTGCAGCTGGTTTCCTTCAGCACTCTGTGTTAATGTTTTTCAGGCACACTACTATGCCAGGACTATATAGTGAATCTACATAAGGGGAAACAGTGGTGCATTAACAGGACTATTTTAATTTTATTCTCTACATTTAGTTTTAAGAAAAGATGTCTGGCTTACTAAACGTGTGTTCCTTAGCTTCCAGCGGCGTTCCTCTGCAGAACCCTGGCTATGGATACACCCCTGTTCCTGGAGGATATGCACCCGGCCCGCCTGCCCCTGGGGGCTACTCACCTGTGCCGGGAGGCTACGCTGCACCTCCGCCTCCAAACGGACCTTATCCCTATGCACCACCTCCAGTGAATGCCTACAGCCCCGCTCCACAGCCCATGGCATATCCGTACGCCCAGACGCCAGGTTTGGAAGTTGTGTAATGATGACTCTGTCTGATGTTAGCTGTGAAGAAATGACAGTGGTATGGTGAGGGTTATGTGAGGGTTGCTGTAGTTTTGTCTCCATCAAGGATCCTTGTCCATGCAGAAATCTGTCACATGCTGTTGATCACACCCGTGTGTCGCTGTAGTTATAGCTACCTGAAAATGTGGTTTGCAAATTGTGCTGCTGCTTGGTAGAGAACTATTGCCTGCTGACATGACAGGCATTAGCAAATTATCAAATCTCTGCTGTCTGCATCCCTGCCAAGCCTGGAGAGCTTCTCTTACCACCGCTCTCGTCCCCAGCTAATGTGCTGTCAGGCCTGTGAGCTCTCTGTCCCATGGTCAGTGGTCCAAAGCATCAGCCTGATGTTGTTTTTTTCAGGTATTTACCCACCACTTCCAAACATGAACCCCGTGTACATGCCACCTCCACCACCCTACTCTGGGGCTCCTCCTGCAGGACCCTCAGCTCCCCCAGCCTGGGTGAGCCCAGGAATGCCAGGTAAATGGGATTGGGCAGTTGCCAGTGTCTGGGTGCAAATGGGGTGCCTGGGGGCTTGGGCTGAGGGTGGCATGGGCACAGCATGGCGTGGAGAAGCTATTGTTGCAAGAGCTCCAAGTCTTCTGTAGGGAGCTGCTCTGCCTTGTCCTGCACAGCTTGTGGTCAGCCCTAGCCAGCTTTCCTGAGCTGCTCCGAGTTCTGACCCAGCTTACTGCAGTTCCTCTTGGCTCCTTGGGCCTTTGTTGCCTCCTTGGAAGAGGTGAAACTTGGGAGAAGGCTCTGAGGCTAGCACCACTGCCTCAGATATTTAAGGTGGGTTCTTTTCCTTCCTTTCCAGGAGGCAGTAAGGCCATGGAAGCAGCTTCCAGTGCATATTACAACCCTGCCAACCCACACAACGTGTACATGCCCATGGTGAGTACCATGCCTGGTCTTCATGTGCCTACTCCCTCCTCTGTCACTAGTAGAGATGGTGCTTTGCTTTCTTACAAAGTCTAGTGTACCTACATGTTGAACATGTACAGAAAGTATGTGTTTTTATGGGAGGGAGGTTCCCATGAGGAAGACTGGTGAATTTTTCAGTCAGCAAAGGAGGAAGGCCTTAAGATTGATCCATTAATAGCCATTTACTTCCTGTCTTACTCCTAAAGGCATAACAGACTTGCATGGGCACAGAGAAAACACAGAGCTCTGTGCATCCACTGGGCCTGAAAATGAGGAGAGTTAAAGAAGAATAATAGGTCATTTAAGGACGATGGCATGTGGGTTTCTCTTTTGCTGTCTTTCTGGGCTGCATGGAGACAGGGAGGTCTCTTACTGTTCAGTCAGTGGCAGCCACTAGGTTGTCTGTAGCCTCCATCTGGTACATGGCAGTCTGGCTGTGCCACTCACTGCCTTGCTTGGCTCTGGCAAGCTGGAGACTGATGGAGCAGCAAAGCTGGCCCTCAGCCCAGGGTTTGCTGTCTGCTGGGTCAGAGCTATGAGCTTCAACAGGGACAAAGGCCTGGAAGGGAAGGGAGAATGGCATTTAAAACAGATTAAATGGTCCATCTGCAGTAGACCGTGTTACCTGGTTTTGAGGGGACTTTTCCTAGAAATGTTATGGAGACAGCATGTGTCATGGAACATAGATGATACTAGAGAGGAATGGTGTGATGAAATGACTGCTTAAACCATAGAACTTGGTCTGTCTGTAGCTCACCACAGGGCACTCATTTCTGGTGAGCCAAGCCTGGGAATACCTGGGAAGAGCTGGTCATAAAACAAGCATGGTTGTTGACTCTACTGTATCTCTTTCCAGGATCAGCCACCTCCTTATACACCTCCTGAGGATAAGAAGAACAACTAGCAGAAGGAAATTGCAGCCAGCCTCCCACATTCTCTCTCCCTGAAGACAACATGGCTGTTAGTACCCCTCAAGTTAGCATATCTCTAGATCTCTGTTTCTCTACAATAGATGTAGTGCTGGGCAGCTGAGCACCTGCCCTCATTAAACATTGAGTCAGTGGCAATACACGACAGGACAACAGCACTTTCCTACTTACTTGCTTTATCTCATGGGGTCGAAGGACTAACCTTTTGCCCTGCCATTGGCTTGAGGAGAGAGATGGACTTATTAAACTCTTATCACATGACTAATCTAGAACTAAAATATGAATGCTGTGGGATCTTGTTGGAGTAAAACAACTTGGAATGCCAAACTTTTGACTTCTGAAGCACCATCCAGGAGAAAAGGTGTAGAGAGCTATGAGGTTCCATGCATAGATCCTCAGGTGCCCTAGAAAAGTGTTAAATTTTCTTAAATTCTAGGGCAGTTCAGTATGAGATGGGACTTTGGAAATCCTGTATTGTGTTGGAAGTGTGTGGCATTCTGGACTAACAGTTGAGGGGCTGTGACCTTGGGAAGTGCATTCGAAGAGATGTTGAAGCATTTGGCTTCCCAAGAGGGAAGGGGATGGGTCTCAATCAACCTGTCTTTGTAGCCATTGAACCGAGAAACAAACAAAGGTGTGCCTCAGGGCAGTGAGCTCATAGACTGGCAGGCCTGAGGATCAGTCTGTCTTTTCCCTGTCCAAGCAGGCCCCATATCTGTGTAATGATCCTATGTCAAGCAGCCGTTCCTCAAGGATAATGGAGTCAAGCGCTGCACAGGAGGCTGCCTGCCTTGGAGCAAAATATGTTACATTAGGCAGATGACCTGGCACTAGCTTTGTCAGGAGACAAGTCCTACAGCTCTGGCTCCCTCTGCTGAGCAAACTTGTGCTGTGTGCTACCTCCACAGGGGAAAACTGGCCTTCATCTTTTCCTTCAGCTGCTGGAGCCAGGCTGTATGTGCCCACATCTGAGCAGCGTGGGCAGGTGGGCACTGTAGTGCCAGAGCTGGTTGCTTACAGGTGCAGTGCCCTCGGCTGGGAACTGCTGTCTGGGTGGGAGTTGCTAATACTTGGCTCTCTTGCAGAGGCTCTGGCTGCTCAGCCACACCCTTTTTCCTTAGGATATAGTGCCGTTAAACCTGCTCTGAAAAGAGTCTCTAGTCTGGAGGAGACCTTTGTGGTCCTTTACATAAATGGTGACTCTACTTCTACCTACAGCCTTCCTACCTTCACAAGGAGGGGGAAGGAGTGTTTTCCCTCTTACTTCCCTGTATGACAGGGCTCTCCTGCAAGTCAGGTTTGCACAACTTGAAAGTATGAATTCCTAAAGCAGTTTCACGTGGGGGGAAGTAAGTTTCCTTATCTATAGACACTTTTTCTGACTTAAGAGATATTCTAACAACTCTGTATTTTAAAAAAATCAACCATGAATGTTTATAACTTTTTGAATTGCACTTTAATACAGGAGTGTTGATATCTTTATCCGCCAGTTCAGTGTTGTGTGTGTGTGTTGTGTTGACCTTAATTCTTGCATACTGCACAGAAGGCTGGAAAGAACTACAACCACTGCTGCTCTTCCCTTGGGTCACCTATGGTATGTGGCTAAGCTGGACCTGGAATCAAGTAACTGGGGGGAGTGAAGAAGGTGGGGCTTATCCCCTTGCTGCCTGGAAGGCTGGCTGGTGCCTGTGGTTATGCCCAGGTATCCAGAAGTGGCACATGTTTATGTCCCATCACTACATGTAGTAGAGGCCATGTCACCACACTGCTACTCATTACAGCTGCATTCATAGCACCTTTTTGATGTAAATTACACCAGAGGAGAGGCCTTTAAAGTCTTTGAAAGAAACTCCTCACCAGCATTTTTTTCCAGCAATGGAAAAATAAATATATATAAGGAAAATGGCACTTGGCTATAGACTGTAAAATCTGTTTCCCCTTGTGCCAAGGAATGCCGCTGCCCTGCTGAACATGAGCTAGCTACTGGAAACCCATTTCCTACTCTGCATCAGTCCAGTTTCTGACAGGAAACCAGTTCTATTTCCTAGCATAGTTGTTCCTGTTTTGAGGTAATGGCCCTCTAATCCTAAATTAATCAAGCAGCTATAGCTAGCAACACATGAGACAGAGTCTATGATCTACTTCCCTTTATTTCAATCAATTTGCCTCAATCACTCCCCAAGAAAAAAGCCAGCTCCTTGTTTTGTTAGCAAGTCCTCCCTTATTAGAACTGCATTGTGTTCAGTATCTCGACCCTGCACCTCAGAGGAAGTTTGTAGAAGGGTCCAAAATCAACCATTTGGTCCTTCAGGAACCAGAGTGGACAGATGACCAGGAACCCTCCCACAGCTGAACAGGAATAGAGATTTTTTTTTTCCTAATCCAAAATGTATTTCCCCAGTCTGAGGCTTAATCTTGTGTCTTGTGTCACCTAGAACTCTTCCATGGGTAGTTTGCTTTATGAAGGTGAAGCAGTTGAGGGCTTTAGAGTGTCCTGACACTCACTTCTAGTTTATTACTGTAGACTCCTCCTCAGGATAGAGCTGTGGATGCAAGGGCCCCTTGGGAGAAGCCTTTCCCTGAGACTCCCTGAGTTTTCAGCCTGCTGAAGTAGGATCTGATCCTCCTTTCAGCAGAAGTTTCCTTCTAGAGAAAGAAGGATGCAACTTTCAGCTTGGAGGCACCCGTGACCAACTCCCAAGCCAAAAGACCACTTTACCTGAGTATCAGCATCTTCCTGCCAGCACTCCTACACAATGTGCTGCGGCTCTGTGGCTTTTGGTGTGTACCACAGCACAGCTCCTGGGGAGTGCATGGCTCACAGAGATGTTTGCTCTGCTGTAAACTTCTACCAGAGGGGCTTTAATACAATGCTAGCATGTACACTAGGGTGCAGTAGTGCTGCAAGCAAAGCCTCACTGCACAGGGCCATTATGCCTCCAAGATCCTGGTGGGGCTATGTGGGATGCAGCCCAGCTGACAGTTCCTTATTCTAAACCAAGCTGATTATAGCAAAAGAAAGAAGGTGACCAAGTCTGATCCGTGAGGTTAATGCCATCACGCACCTGGGGGAGGCTGGGAAAAGAGGGAAAATGGGATGTCACAACCCTAGGAGATACTAAAGCACCCAAAGCCTTTCTGCAGGTGTAGTTCAAACAGCCCCTCCAGCAGCCAGTAGTACCCAGCTCAAAGCAATGGTGTTCTCAGGCGTCAGAGCTGACAAACTTCAGTAGTGGTGGACTCTTCTTGTATGGCATCTTCCACAGGAGGATCTCAAAAGGTTTTGCAATCACCGAGGAACTACGCTCTGCACACCCTTAGGCAGTGAGTAACAAGAATTTCTGGTTTATGCGGATAGAGCAGGTATCTTCAAGCTGGTACCAGAGGATGGTCACTGCCCGGCATTGCTGGGCTCACCAGCGAAAGGCACTTGTACAGTGAAGAACCACATGCCTTGGGGTCTCACAGCTCACCCTGGCACTGGTCCACACCGCATCCACTGGGCCCTGTCACAGAAGGGCTGGGCGGTAACCCCCACCAGGGGCTTGCTGTCTGACAACATGCCAGGGTTGTACTGGGAGGGTCTTGGGATGGAGATACCACATCACCACCCCCGAGGGGTTAATAACGACTGAGAAGTTGTCTGCTGTTTTTAAGTCTCCAATGATCTTCCCCACATACACGTCTTGTACCTGAAAGAGAGAGATGGAGCTACCAGCAATTCCAGATCTTTGATCTTGGGGTCCAGCTGTGGTCATGGACATGAAATAGTGGGAAAGGGCACAGCAGTGGGCAACAGAAGAGTGACGCAGTAGGCAGTTGCCACTTCATTCCAGAGGTATGGAGTGAGAGTACTCCATAGAGTACTAGAACGCATAGAGATGTGGGAAGAGGGGGATCCATGTGCCATGGGACTGCCCTGCTATGCACTGTGTCAGTGGGGCTCACCTCATACACAGCATCCTCGGGGAAGTGGAGCTTGGCCAGGCTGGTGGTGTAGCGGAAGGGCATATCTGTCCTCCGGCTGAAGAACACGAGGGCACTGGCAGCCTGGGCCAGTGGACGCACAAACACCTCGATGTTGTATTTCTCCTAGGGGTGGGGATAGGTGGGTGAGGCAGAGTTGCTAGGAGCAGTGCAACTTCTGACTTTGCCCTGTGGGGCTGCAACACCAGCAGGCCCACAACGCCCACAGCTCTCTTGCTCCTGTTTCTCTGCATCATTTCCCTCTTCCTCCTTATTTTGATGCTCTGTGCTACTTCTGTCTGCTCTCCCAAATGCATCTGCTTTCCCCCTAACCTTGACAATCCTGCGCCCCTGGATTCCCAGGGGATCCTGGTTGATCTGGATCATCAGTCGGTTCTGCAGGATCTCCTTGGCCTCGGGGGAGATGGTGCGGAGATCTGTGGACATGAGGAGCGGAGATGCCATCACTGTCCACAAAGCCATTTGGGAGCGTGACTGTTCATAGCTAAGGCCGAAGTTTCCAATGATGAGCTGGAGGGGAGACAGTGAAAAGATGCAAGAAGCAGAAAAAGGTTAGAAACTTGTCTGCTTGTCACCCATGGTGATGCTGCTTCCTGCTGGGAGGGAACGCACAAGGGAAACCTCACACGCACTTTTGCTTCCCCTTAAGTAGTCCACCACTGCCACCAGGAGATCTCATCCCTGCTAGCAACATACACTCAAATGGACTCATTAACACCCTTTGTTTCACCGTTATTTGCTCTCAGGCTGTGCAGGGAAGGACAAGAACACCTGAAGAACTTGAGAGGTAAATTCAAGTGGTGAAGGGTTCATGGCAACCACTGTGGTTTTTCCTACAGCTTACCCAAGGGTAACACCAGCTTTGCCTCTGCAGCAACAGGGCTCCTGCTCCTGGAGCTCTTCCTTTGCCCTGCCCCTAGAAGAGGATCCCTGGAGATCCCCTGGAGATCCTCATCCCCAGACAGGGTCAAAGCACCCATCACCCAGCCGCACCATGTCTGGGTCATTCCAGTGACCGGGGCCAGCTGCTGGCTGCAGCACATCCTGGTTTGTGAAGAACCAGTCCACGATGGAAAGTACACTGTCCCAGGAGTCCTGGATGTCATCATAGTTACGCCACAGGTTGCAGATCTCTGCCAGGATGGTATAGTTTACCTGACAAGGAGAACAGTGTCAGGCAGGAGAGGAAAAAGAGCTGTTCTGCAAGGTGGGGCAGGCAGGAGCAGCACTGTTGAATTGTTGAGAGCTGCACTGTCCAGCAAGTATGTAAAAGTCAGAGGAATCTGGGGAAGGGTAAGGAGGCAAGACAGAGTCATATCCCACTATGTCTGAGCACACCTCAGTACTATAGGATGTCTGGCAAAACAACCACAGAGGTCATGAGGAAATCTGATAACCTATCAGCTACAAAAATGAGAGCAGCTCAAGACTGACTCAAAAAATGAAAGAGGAAATATGTGAGAGCAACCAATTCTCAAGAAACATATACTAAGATTATCCTATTTCAAGCACTGAAACTAGACAGGACTGACTCACAAGAAGACTGCCAGGACCAACCCCACACCATCTGATTAGGGGGGAGAGGATACACTCCAGAGCCTTCTTCCCACAAACTCCCATCACCTAGCCATATTGGAACCCCCAAGCATCCCCGGGTGCCTGGCAGGAAAGCCACATTACCTCTGGGACCTGCAGCAACATCCAGGGGTGAAAAATTAAGTGGGGTGTAACACCCTGCTCCTGGTGCTCCAGCAAGAGCTCCTCCAGGGCACAGGGGACATGGGAACTTGCCAAAAGATAGGAAAACCCATACCTGGGGGGGAAGACCCCCCTGATATGCTGGCCAGCTGCAGGAGTAGACAATGGGACGGCCTGTGGCGTTCAAGGCCCTTGCCATTTCTGGGTATCCTTAGGGAGAGAAGATGACAACCAGTGAAGAGGTGGCTGGCAGCAGCCCATGTCCCAGTAGCAGCCTTTATCCCAGCCCACTCAGCAAGGGGAATACCAGTCTAGCCTGGCTTCCTTCCTTACACCAGCTCCAGGGCACACAAACTCCTGCCTCTTTTCCCAACAGTTGCAATAGGAGGCACAAGAGAAGAACTGGCTGTCCCAGTGTTGCTGCAGAGGGCCAGATGCCCCAACCCAAGTAGCAGGGAGAAGAATGCCAGAGGCTGGTGAATTTTTACCTTTTGCCTGCTCCTCTGCGGACGAGTAGCACCCATCCAGCTTCAGCATGTCCACACCCCATGCTGCAAAGGTCTGGGCATCCTGCTTCACATTTTCCAACATGGTGCCTGGGTAGCCCCCACAGGTGAAGATGCCCAGGTCACCATAAATGCCCAGCTTCAGGCCCCTGGCATGGACCTGTGAGGAGAACAGAGCTGCAAGGAGCAAATGAAGGGATCCAGGGTGTCTCCCAGGTACCAGCATCCTCTTTTCCTTCCCAGCTCTCCCACCATTCTGGCATGGGGACAGAGATCCCCAGGGACCCCCAGCAGGCACTCACATAGTCAGCCAGAGCCTTAATTCCCCTGGGGAATCTCTTGGGGTCTGGAACCAGCTGCCCGGCCACATCCCGCTGCTTGGCAGCCCAGCAGTCATCAAGGTTGATGTACTCGTAGCCCAGCTCCCTCCAGCCATCCTCTGCGAGCCGGTCTGCCATCTCGAAGAAGAGCTGCTCGCTGTGGATTGAGGAGGCATGGCAGGCTGAGACCCTGCGACCCTTGTGCCTCAGCAGGTGAGGTAGGCAGAGGGATTTGGGGGTTAACTAGGGGTACTGGAGGGCTGGTCCGGGCCATAGGATAGACTCCCATAGCGCTCCCATTTAAATCCTATCAGTCTTTATTGACCTCACTGAAAGGGAAGCGTTTCCTCGACTGCCTGAAAAACCCGCCCATATCCTTCAGCTCTGGGGGCTCTTCGGCCCAGCACCGGACCGGGGCGTCTGAGCCTCCCGCTCCCATGCACCATCCACCCCGGGGTCCCAGGGACGCAGACGGTGCCAGAGCCATCCCGGTCCTCAAGTTCGACCTGACCGCGCCCCATCCACTGACCTGATGCAGTTGCGGGGATCCGCCTGGCAGTCCACGTTGCAGCGGAACCTCTCCCAGGACATCCAGCCCATGGGGGGAGTGCGCGCCAGCCCGTTCTCCAGGGCCACGGAGGGCAGCGCCAGGGCCAGGGCCAGGACGAGCCCGCTCAGTCCTGCCGCCTCCATCGCTGCCGCCGCGGCACAGAGCGGCTCCCCGGCCGGCCCCGCTCACATGATGCCGTCTGCATCAGCTGACGGACTGCCCACGCCTCCCGCCCGCCCGCAGCCACCGCGGCCCGCCGGTACCGCCGCCCACAGCCCTGCCGGTCCATTAATATCGCTTCCCCCGCTGCACCCTGTCCGTGCTGCACCCCACTGCTGCTGCACCCCGTAGCCGGTGCCCGTCAGCACTGCGCCCAGCCCGTACTGCACCCCATTGCAGCTGCACCCCGTTGCTGGCACCCTGTCACCGCCGCCCCTGTGCCTGCTGCACCCCAACAGTGATTCTGGGAGCGGGGGGTTTAGGTCCCCCCCAGGTTGCGACCCTGCAGAGGTGTCGGGCTGAGCGAAGGGGTGCGGGAGGACGCGGCTCCGGTCCGGCTGCGGTGTCCCCGGCCCCCCCGCTCCCCCCTGGCCGCCTGCGGGGCGGTGCTGCCGGCGCGGCGGGACGGCCCCGGCGGCCGCAGGAGCCTTCCCCCGCCCGGCCGCGACAGGGCCGGGCTGCCCCGCACCGCCGAGCAGCAGCGGCCGGAGGTGAGCCGGGCCGGGCAGGGGCCGGGGTCCCGCCGTCGCCGGGGAGGCGCTGGGCAAGGGCCAGGCGGCGCCGGGGCCGGGCCGGGACAGGGCGGCGGCGGGGCGGGAGCGGCCGCGGGACCGCGAGGGTCGCAGGCAAGCGACGGACTCGCAGACGGAGGGGCACGGGCACACACAAAGACCGACAGCCCCATTGCACGGGCGTGCGCCCGCGCACAAAGGCACAGAGCCCGGCACGGCACACGTGGGACCCCCACAGCCCCCTCGCGTCAGGCTGTCCGCAGCCTGTGTGTGCCCAGGGCAGAGCACCTCCAGGGAACAGCCTTTCCTTGTGTCTGATCGGCGTCTTGGGCATTTTGCAACTGGGGTCCGTGCCCCCATGTCCTCAGCTGTGCGGCACTAGCCCTGATGGGAGAGAAGGGCTCCGGGAGGAATTCTGGAAGTTGCTCAGCAGTGCTCCTAGCACCCAAGTCTGTCCTGGGAGTGGTGGCTGTGGTTTGTTTTCTGCATGTGATTGTTTTCTATGTGTGGAGTTTTAGCGGCTGGAAATCCTTTGGCAATTGAACATTCCACAAAGGTTGTGCTGGCTCTGTTCTTTAAGGCTCTATCCTCCTTGACTTTCCGAGTCGCCTGCCAAAGGGCCTCCACAAATGGGGCAGTGACAGCTTCTGCAAAACATTTATTTTTTTCTTTAATAAACCCAAAACAAGCCCAGGAGCTAGAGAACAAACCCACAGGAGCACTGGCCTGAGCTGGGATATGGCTCAGGCTTTAAAGCAAGTGCACGTTCCCCCAGTTTTGCTATCTCAGTTTCCAGTACAGCTTGCCTGCACTGAGGATCCTGGATTTCTGAGGTGGGAGTGACACAGCTCTTAGCTCTGTCAGTCACAAACTGTTCTGCTTTGTAACTCCTTCATCCTTTTATTCCAGCAAAGGATGGTGCTCATCACGCTGAAGCCTCAGACACCCTCAGCTAGGGACCAGCCTGGCCAAGGAAGACAACAGGGGTTTGCAGTCTGACCTGCACAGCTGGTATGTCACCTTGCACCCCACTGCTGGTGAACCGGCTGGAGCTGGGAGTTCTGCTGCCAGGAGGGCTGGTGGGGGTGAGTGGTCCTGCGTGGAGACAGGGAGTAGGGAAAGGGGACAGAAATATAAGTTCCAGAGCCCTTGGGTCTGAAACACTTTCCTTACCTGCCTTCTAATAGAGAGCAAAATGAGTGCCTTGCAGGCAGAGAGGCAAATTTCTTTGATGTGCCCCATTGAAAACCAGCAAAGTAGGTCACTTGTGGAATAAGAAATGAAACAGCAGTGTTTGCGTTCGCAGGGAAGGCAGGTGTCTGGGTGGTGAGGCTCTGGTAGTGACCTCCTCTTTGCAGCAGTGAGGAACCAGCCTGCCCTTTGTAGGGGTACCTGCTGGGTTAGACACCGTCCTGTGTCAGTGGCTGCTGGAGCGGGGCTGCAGGAGTGACTGCTTTTCCCTGGGAGCAGGAGCTGGCCTCTTCTGGTGGGGCCAGTGACATGCTCCTCACACCAAGACAACCTCTTCCCCCCCTCTCTTCCTCTGCTCCTAGGTGGGGCGATGAAGCTGAATGAGCGGAGTGTGGCCCACTACGCCACCTGCGACTCACCTGCCGACCACACCGGCTTTCTGCGCAAGCGGGTAGAGCGGCACCACCACCATGCCCACCACCATGGCACTTCCTACCAGCGCCGCTGGTTCGTCCTCAAGGGCAACCTCCTCTTCTACTTTGAGGAGCGGGAGAGCCGGGAGCCCGTGGGACTGGTGGTCCTGGAGGGCTGCACCGTGGAGCTGTGCGAGGCTGCTGAGGAGTTTGCCTTTGCCATCCGCTTTGATGACGCTGGTGCCAGGGCTTATGTGCTGGTGGCTGATGGGCAGGCTGCCATGGAGGCCTGGGTGAAGGCACTCTCACGGGCCAGCTTCGACTACATGCGGCTGGTGGTAAGGGAGCTGGAGAAGCAGCTGGAGGAGGCCTGCAAGAGCTTGGCCGCTTGCCGTAAGTCTCCACAGAGGTCCTCCTCCTCTGGCAGGAAGAGGCATCTCTCCAACCCTGCCTTGCAGCCTCTCCAGGAGAAGCCTGCCACCCTGGAGAATGGCTACTCCACATGGAGTAGTGGAGGATGTGTTGCCGGTGGAGCCACCTGCACTGACCATGACGGGGGGCAAACAAAGCCCCCGCCCCTGCCTCCACGCCGGCGCTCGGCCGCCAGCAGTGCCACAGGATCCACAGCACTTGGCCTCTCACCAGCCATGCTGGAGAGCCCAGTGCCACCGGAAACCATCTGCTTCTCCAAGCTGCACAACTGGTACGGGCAGGAGATTGCAGTGCTGAGACGGGAGTGGCAGGAGAGGCAGAAGAGGGGACACCCATGACTGGGGGCACAGGACACAAGTCACTGGCCAGCTGATGCCTGGCAGCCCGTTCTGTATGCAGGAAGAGTGAAGTGAGGGACGCTGCTTGCCCCCTGCCCTCATGAGTGGCTGAGTGTACAATGTGTGTATGCTTCACTTGGGAGGGACTCAAATCCCCTCTGAACCTCACATTTAACTTCTATGAGGCTTTATACAGCCGGAGAGCATGTAACACCAGGGGAGCCACCTTTACTTAAACTCTCTCTGCTGAAAATAGGAGCTGCCCAAATCAGCACATATGCAATGAGCCTCAGCCAACAGGCCAGGCCACTTGCTGTCCTGACATGGTGGATGCTCTGAGTGTTTCATCCCCTACCTCTCCTTCACCACTTTTTTGATTTGTTTTGTTTCTAGTGTGGAAGTTTGCTTTTGGTCAGTGTTTATTACTGTCTGTGGTCTTGTGCCAAAGTCCTTCTGCCTTTGTTCTTTTGCAGTAGATAAGGCTGGGCTCTTATGAAATGCCTCTGACAGGCCATTGGCTGTGGTGCGTGCCTGCAGCCTTGTGCCTCTCTCACTACAGGACATGCGAGCCACTGCAGCTGTTGCTGGCCCAGCAGCTGGGGCTTTTGCATTGTATTTTTACTTTGATCTGCACTAACCCTTCTTTCAGCTAAATCCTTCAGGATGTGGATATCATGGTCTTGCAACTATCTCTTTGTGTGCAAGCCTGAAATGGAGACACAGAGCTTAGCCAGAAGCCCCAGCAAGGACACCAGGGGCTCCCCAGGGCTAATCTGGACTCTGTCAAGCAGTAACCAAGCTTGCTAATATCTCTGGCTCGAGGTTTCTCTGTTCCTATACAGGGATGCTGAAGCCTCTTTGCCTGGGCAGGAGTAAATTTCTCAGACTTTGCTTAGACCACAGCCTGTGCAAGGTGCCATGTAGGGCTCAGTCAGCTCATCGGGCTGCTTGCCCAAGAGGGTGTCCAGAGCCACACTCCTGCAGGGCCTCTCTCAGTGTTGTGGCTCTGCCCAACTCCTGGCAGTGCTGTGCAGATGGAGGAGAGGCTTTGAAGGGTGGGGAGGGAGACAAGCCTAGTCTCAGAAGGAGAAGTAGAGGTGTGGGAATGAGTTATGGGTGTTGGTGGTATCTGAGCTTGCCTCTCCAGTGTCAAAGCCATGTCGCTGCCTTCTACCAAGCCTGCACCTGGCCTGCCGGCACTTCCCTCTGATTTCATGTCAGCATTGCTTGTCTGATCTCTGCAGCACATCCCATCCTCCCAGCGGGCTGGGAGGGCTGCAGGGAGGGCATGCCTGTCACCTCACTGTGAAAACAGACTTGTCCATCAGTAGGTCAGAAATCTTGGCCACAAGGCACATGGTACAAGTAGGTGGGTGCCAAGTCCAGTGACTAGAATACCCTTGGGATAGGGTTTAAAAATTTCTCTTATCTAGTTGCATGCTTCCCATCTAAAAACATTAAACCTGTTTTTATTGCCCTTTTTTTTAAAGAGCTTTGCTAGGAAAGCAAAAGCTCATTTCAGATCATGACTGGCTGGAACCTTTCTGGTCTTTAACACACTCCTACTTTAAGGACTTTAAGCTTCCTACTTTGCAATAGCCTGTAGAGATAGCCAATGCAGAAATCAAATTAATTCTATTAACTCTTGGTGCCTTTTAAAATATGTCTCTGGTAGTTTTGGATGATGAGCTTCCAGCCTCCTGCCTAATTATGGCTCGATGGTACATTAGAGGAAATCAGATCTTAAATTAGATCTTACAAATTACTTTGGGCAGTGAGAATGTAACCTTCACTTGTGAGTAACACAATCCAGCCCTCTCCAGTTTGTGGTTGTATTACTTCACAGTAAAGATCTTCAAGTTCGGGAGGATTATTTTTGTTTGGTTTCTATTAAAACGGTTCAGAAAAATTGGGAGCAGGTGGCCATGGGGCAAAGCCCTGGCTTCATCAGCAGCTTAGCTGGTTGGACGTAGGGGCCATTTCTGCCTTCCTACCCTGCTGCTTGAAGAGTTCAGTACTGCAGCATTCCTGGCTGCAAATGTGTCCCTTTTCCCATGCCAGGACAGCAGCACTAGGGGATTGCACTACCTGGTGACTCCTTGCTCTGAGAATGGGTATTTTGGGACCAAGGTCAAATTTGTCAAGCATTTTCCTGTGCTTTTTTTTTTTTTTTTTATGTAATACAGAGAGAATATTCTTGATGTCTCAGATTACCATAAGGCAGTATGAAAGTAAAGACTCAACTTCCAAAACAAATCAAAATATAGTAGCAGTCCCTACATGAGACTCAAGAACTGGGAGTGACTTGAAAGGGAAGATAAATTAACAAAGCCAGTTCTGTCAGAACTGAAACTGACACAGTGTTATTCATTTAAGGGCAGTTTCACTTTTAAGAAGCTTAGCGTGTTTTAATAAGCCAGGATTGTGCTCGTAACACTGCTAAAGAGCTTATATTTAATGCTTTAATCTGTCCCATTCAAACGGCACAATTTCCACGCTACCTACCTTTGCTTAGCCCATATCCCAACTAAATCCCCAATCCAAATGAGGCACTGCGCTCTGCTTTCCATCTGATCGCGTTTGGAGTAATTTTGTGTTTTATTCTGCAGTGTTGACAAGAAAATGCCTGAATCCTGATCCACATATATGCTCAGCCCAGCCATCCATGCCTGGGCCTTTGCTGGGTCTCCAAAGCGCTGTGTGACTTTGGATGTCCTTGATCAGGGTTTCCTCACCATCCCACTGTTGTAGCAGCCTTGCCCAGATTTGTATGAGAGTACAGTTTTTTTAATGACCACTGCCACTTGCTTCATTAGGTAGGAAGCACCTGAGTCCTGCACTGCCTCCTTACAGATGGAGGCTATAAAGCCAGCACAGCTGAATTGGTTGTGCTGGCAGTGCCTTTGAAGCAGCCTCCAGGCAGGAGGCCAGGATTTCAGCTTCCTGACCTCAGCTTGCTGAGGTTGAACATTCAGCTGGCTAATGGAGCAGCCTGTCTGTCCTTCTGCAGGCAGAGATTGTTACAGGAAAGGCAGAGAGTTTTCACTGCACCTAAAATAAGCAGCAGAATAAGACTGATTGCCACCCAGGGTTTTTTTTCTTAGGTCGTTCAGGTTTGGACTGTTTCACCTTCTGCCTCCACTTTCCCTTTTTATTTTTAAAAATAGAGAATGCCTATCTAAACAGGTTCCTAGGCAAAGGGGGAGCTGAACACTGAAGTTGAATGGGTACTTTTCTTAAAGTACTGAAGTAAGATCCTTTTCCTAAGAGTTTTCTTTAGTGCAGAAGTGATGAGAGGAAGGTGCTAAAATTGAAAATAAATTGAAAAGGGGCAGTTTTGACATAGCCTTTGTGAGCTGTGCCAGGAAGGGCTCCCAATCCTGCTAAAATAGTTGATTAAATACTTTTATTTTTCTGAGCCTGACATTTTAGATTTGAGCTCGTGAAATATAATTTCTGCACAATTTTTTTTTTTTTTTTTTTGTAAGACTGTGCTGTTTTCCACTGAGTCCAATTGAAGAGTTACCTGAAGGTTTTACCCTTGACCGCTCTTAGCCATGTGGTGGACAATCATGACCAAGATCAGTCATTTTGTGTTACCGTAGCTACTGCACTAATAGTGCCTGGGGGAGCTACCCCTCAGCTCTCTCCGCTGCCTTTGCAGAGCAGCTGAAAAGCCCCACTGAAATGCACGGGGGCATCTTTCAGCAGCATCTTTTACCAAACTGGTGTTCTCTCCGCACAATAGCCTCGAAAACACTACGAGCGACTCCTGCCTTTCCAAGTGCTTCTGTTTTAGGTAGGGCATGTTCCTTTTTTTAGGAGATGGTTTTGCATGCGCCTTTGTTTTACTTGTATTATACATTGCATTACATTGTTTAGAGTTTGTTTTACACGCGGAACTTGTATTACGCATCCCACGACATTGTTTAGAGTTTGTATTTTATGCCGCGAAGCCGAATAAACCGGTTTGATTTGTAGCCCGTGCGTTGTTAAAGGAGCCGTGAAGCCCCCTGGCGTGCCTGCAGGGCCGGGCCATTCCCGGCCGGCCCGGTTTTCCCCTCACCGGGAGGAGGCGGGGGCGGCCCGGGCCTTCTGTCCCTCTGTCCCTCTGTCCCTCTGTCCCCCCGTCCCCGCGGGCACCGAGACACGCCCCCAGGCCCGGGGGGGGGGGGGGCGGTCTCGCCCCGCGCCTGCGCAGTGCCGTCCTCACCGGCTGCCCACAAGCCTCGCGAGATCCCAGGTGACGCCCGGGCTGTGCCGCGGCTCGGGGCACCGGGAGGATGGCAGCGGCAGCCGGGCGGCTCCTGGCGGCGACCCTGGCTCGCTCGGGGCGTGCGGGTTGGGGCGCGCCGGGCCGGGCCCCGGCCGTGCCGCTGGTGCCCTCCCGGGGCGCCACCGTCACCCGCAGCGGCGCCATTTTGCCCAAGCCGGTTAAGGTGAGTGGGGGGCGAGCGGGCGGGGGCGGCTGCCGCGAGCGGCAGCGGTGGCCAATCCGTGCGGACGCAGCTGGTGTGGGCGGGGCGGTAGCGGTGAGTGACAGTGCCTGGGACCAATGAGCAGGGAGCTGCGGGCGGGGTGCGGAAGCGCTCGGCAGCGGGAGGGAGGCAGGAGCGGCCCCCTGAGCGTGCGGGGCTCGCCGGGCCCGTGTCCCCCGCGTCCCCCGCGGCCCCCCGAGCGAGGCCGCGCTGCGCCGTAAGGGGAGATCAGTGCCCGCCTACGCACCGCCCTTTGTCACCGGCGACCGCCATCCCCTCCCTAAGCCACGAGTGTCCCCTGCCCCGGGCTGCCCCTGGCTGGCGCGGGAGTATTTGTAGCATTATAATGCGATAATAAAACGCGGTGTGGTGACCGGGGCTTGCCACTGGGGACGCAGATCATTCTGCGGGCCGCTTCCCGGGGCCCCCGCGCGCCTGTGGAGCCGGGAGTGCGCCGGTTCAGCCAACGTGCGACTTGCTTGGATGTAAAGATCCACTTTTTACAATCGACTCCTTGCAGACGCCCTTCGGCCTCCTCAGAGTGTTCAGCGTGGTGATCCCTTTCCTGTATGTTGGTACTCAGATCAGTAAGAACTTCGCAGCCTTACTTGAAGAACATGATATCTTTGTCCCAGAGGATGACGATGACGATGATTAAAGGGTACGTCATAAATTACACCAGCAATCTAATTATTTGTGCTTCCCGTTTGGCTTGGGGCAGGGAGGAGAATCTCAGACAAGGAAATACAGCCAGCAGCAGCTTAAAAGATATACTTGCAGTTAAACAGGTGGTTATGGATATGCTTTCGGCTATGAACTTTTTTGGTTTGTACCAGAATAGACCAGACTGGTATCTGTGCAATCTCCACACCATGCATTTCTTAGAGACTGGAAAAAATGATGGTGTTTTAGATCTTGCCAGCTGAATCGGAAATAAAATGTAGTCAATGAGGGTCTATACTGCAGACAACAGAGAGACTTCAGTGTTCCTACATTACACATCCAAAGAAGGATGGCAGAGCTGCGAAGGGGTCTGAAGCTCACCTGTTATGAGGAGTGGCTGAGGGAACTAGGGCTGCTTAGCCTGGTGAAAAGAAGGCTTAGGGGAGGGCTTATCACTCTACAACTACCTGAAAGGAGGCTGCAGCCAGGTAGGCTTCAATCTCTTTTCCCAAGTAACAAGCAACAGGACAAGAGCAAATAGCCTCAGGCTGTGCTAGGGGAGGTTTAGACTGGGTATTAGGAAACATTTATTCGGGGAAAGGGTTGTCCAACATTGGAGTAGGCTGCCCAGAGAAGTGGTGGAGTCACATGCCCTGGAGGTATTTAAAAGAGGTGTAGATGAGACACTTCAGGACATGGTTTAGCGGTGGACTTGGCAGTACTGCATTAACAGTTGTGACTCAATGAACTTGAAGGTCATTTCCAACCTAAACGATTTCGTGATTTTGTTCTACTTGTTTACCTGCTTAAAAGTCTTCTTCTAACTCACAGGATTACTCTTTTAAAACAGAATCATGTACTGTCTGAAATTCTGATAGAGGTGAACAATTTAAGAGCATTCTGGAACCCATCAGAACAAACTGGTGGCTGCTACAACACTGATCTCTGGCGTAGCTGAACCATTCAGACTCATTGCAGAAAGGAAGAATGGAAATAATTCATCTTTATCTGCACTGTGTTACACTTTCTACCATCTTCTGTTATTCTGTTTAGCTTGTTATTGTGTAAAGATTTGAGTTTGGGTGTTATTTCTTTATAGAACAAATAAACTGTTTTAGAGAAGTTGTTGTAAATAATGTAGACTTATAGTCAGTTTGGTGGATGTATTCCAGTTGATAAGGGGTTTTCCAGCATGCACTGTGCAGCTAGAAGCCAAGACTTAAGAGATTGCAAAGACTGCTCTGGCCTGTTGGAAACTCCCTTTATGTAAACCCCATCTTGTGTAGTTTTGGGAGGAGGATGCAGACTACAGCTCAGTAGTGTATCTGTAACAGCTTGTTTTTCTATTTGCAGCACTGGAACAGAGGAACAGACGGGAGAAAGGCATTGACAAAACAATGGTTCCAACATCTGTCACCTGTTTTGTCCTTCCTAAAGGGGACAGGGGGCCTTGTATCCCCTTTTGCCAGTGAGTGTCCTGCACATCTCTGTATGCTGGAATTCTGTAGATCAGGGTTGAAGGAAGTGCTTGACAGGCCCTGCATCCTTGCACACACATGCTCACCTCATCAAAGACTGCTTGGGATGCCTTTAATTAGCAACATGGGAAACAATTAAAGATCAAGAGATTGACATGTGCAACTTTGGTCCTCTGGGGTTTTTTTTCCTGTCTTTTCTATCTCTGCATGTCTGTTCCAGTAGGGAGGCTCTCGTCATGTTTATTTACTCTTTGGGTCCTTTCAGTAACTCAGTACTGATCTACAGGACATGGGGAATCCTAGGGGAAGCAGCAGCCCCGCAACACAGCCCTGTTAAATAGTGGAGTGGACACTGACAATGGCACTGTTCAACAACCTAGCAGCTGTATCTGATGGGGACTGTGGCATTAACTTCATCTCACTGAAGATGAAAGACAGTATTATCATCACAGAGTTAAAACTCTGAGTGGCTTTGGTAAAGGTTGAGATCACAAGTTGCAAATGAACTTGCTCATGTGCTTTATAGCATTTAATCTGAACACTGGCTCCAAGTATCTAATATTTCCTAGGTAGTTCAGTACTTCCTTCTGAAAAAGCCCCAAGGTGTTTGTTTTCTTCACTGTATTAACTTCAACTCCTTTTTTCTTAAAAGTGTTTGCTATTGCATTTAAATTCTTGTATCATAGACTTAAAAGGTCTTCTTTGCTATTATGGCAGAGGAAGAGTATCTTTAGTCACAGCAGACCAGCTGTTCTCTCAAAATCAAACCTTGAGAGGTTGGTAAATTATTTATTTTTCTTAAGCCAGCACTGCCTCAGTGTCTCATGGTTTCTGGTCACTAGATCTGGCCTCTTGAGTGCCCACTTCTTCCTTCCTTATTGGTGTTGCTGTTGAATAGAGAGCAGTGAATAGTTCCAACAGCACATTTGTTCCCTTATTCTTTGGCACAGTTTTTAAGGTTTGCTCAATAACTCTCCAGCATGGCTACTGAGAGAAAAGGGAGCCTGTAATCTGAGTAACCCCAAGAGCTGTAGCTAAAGGCAGCTGCCAGGTTCTTGAATCACTCGGTATCTGAGTTGCCCCCTCCTTGCCCAAAGCCACCTAAGAAGCAGTTGTTCCAGTTTATCTGCTCTTGGGAGCCAAACATGTACCTGCTTCTGTTTTATATGCTACCAAAATCCTTTTCAGTGCTTTGTCCCACAGTCCCTCCTGGCCCTCTCCTGACTTTGTCAACCTGTCCTTAAAAGCATGCCAACCCTGGAGCCCCAAGGTACCTATGTACACATCCCTGAGGAGTGCTGTGTTACGGCCCTCATGGGGAAGAAAGCCCCAATACTTAGAGGATAAAAAGATGTTTATTTAGGCTGGAAAAAAAGAAGCTTGAGTGTACTACAAACATCCAAGGCTGATCACATCTGGAGGAGCTCCAGCACCAAGTTACTTGCCAAAAACCTGTTATCTGGTGAAAGAATAAATTGTTCTTATCCCTTTCAAAAGGGAACTAGTAATTCCTGATTCAGTAGATGAGGTGATGGTAGGACACCATCTCCTGCTAGGCTTCAGAAGTTCTTACAGAGCCTTCCTATTCTAGAAAACAGTACTAAACCCCTTTTCCAGGTAATTTAATTTTATAGCAGAGAAATGGATTCTGCTGATGTTTTAATGCACAAGGATTTGCCTGCTTGATTTTATATTTTCTCTGCAAGAAATGAAGGAGATTAATGTCTAATAAAAAACACAAGGTCAACAAAGTCATAGGATGAAATTGCAAGACACTGCATGAATACACATGTCCCTCAAGCACAAAAATATTTCTGTGAGTACAGTGGCTTTTCTGAAGGGCCACTCTTCCTCACAGAGCTAACATCCACAGATGCAGCTGCAGGCTAAGCACAAAGACCCACAGACAGGCTGTGCTGCAGGCTAAGCACAAAGACCCACAGACAGGCTGTGCTGTGGTTATTCAGCAGACACCAAGTGATGGGATAAGTGCCATCCACTGAAAATCCACACAGGCAAAACTAGGAAATTACAGCTCTTCAAACAGATCACTTGCACATGCTCTGGATTCACCTAGTCGTTAGGCTCTTAAGATGCTAGAGAATCTCTTGGTATGGATCTTTTTTATATTGTATAGAACTTTATTTGTAATACAAGGCAGGAAGACATAGAGTCAGTTTCTCAGGGATTGTGCCCCGCATAGAATTTGGACAGAAAGTCTTTAGGTTGTGGGGTTTCCGTCTCGTGGAAGTACCTCATGACGTGAGTCCTCTGCTTCCAGACATGAATGGTTTCTTGAAGCTCCATTTTTCCCTGCACATACACAAAAGAATTTTAGACTAGTTGGCAGAGCCCAAGTCTAACCATGTGGTACTGTTAGAGTTATTTGAATGAACTTTAAAACACCTACAAAAATAACAGCTGCACCAACAGTTCTGTATTCCGACAGCCTGTGTGCATCACCTGCGCTGTGACACAAATACATTGTTCCTGCCTTGTGACTTATGTGGATTTCTCTACAGCACAGCTTCCCAGCCCTGTGAAACGGGCAAGAGACTCAGTCCCCTTCTTAAAACCTGCTTTGTTTCTCTCCTGACCAGCATCTCCCATAAAATTCTACACAACATTGCTAACTTTCAAGCACCTCTACTGAATTTGGGTAAACAGCAACATTTTAGCTGTAAAATTAACTGCTGCCAAGTGCTTTGCACCAGTATCACTGCCACTGAGACATGCAAATTCGTCACTATTTCATCCTTTTATACCGGTTTTATAGGATGGTAGCACAGAGCAAAATGAGACTGCCTGGAATTGTCACCGGCTGTGCTATCTAGGATTCTGTTTCCTTATTTTTTCATCATGTAAAGACAGAGTAATTGTCTTGAAATGCAAGAAACAAAACAGGTGAGCATGGCACCTGAGTTGGAAGCTTTCTAATGCATTAGAACTGCAGAGATCAGTTACTGTTGCTCAGACACATTTTGAAGCCTGTTGTGCTGATCATTGCTTTGAAGCAGACAGGTCTCTCAGGCCTGTAACACCACCAGATGTGTTACAGAGTTGGAGTGTTCTGCCACCCAAAACCAGCTTCCCACCAAGTACTGACACTGTAATATATGTTTCAGAATCAGTGAAGAAAACCATTTTCCAATCCAACGAAGTACTGCAGAGGACAGATAGTTTGTTTTTATAGTAAACTTGTGAGCAATACCTGTATTCCCTTTGATTGCTGTTGTTAAAAATAAGACAAGCAAGCAAGGAACAAACTTAGTATTTTAATTGCTGCTTTGCTTGACATACACTTCCTGAATTCTAAAGCCACCTGATCCCTTATCAACAGGTTTGCTGACATAGATATTACCAATCCAACTGCAAGAAACAACCACTCCATAGACACGCTGGTACAAAGTTGTCCCTCTCCTCCATCACACTCACCACCAATCATCCACATTCTCTGCAGCTTGAATAAATCAGAAGTAACTGTGTGTACCTTAATAACCAGCATGTCTATCACGCGTGGATCCGTAACGTGGGCATTCTTCATGAACATCTCCCGCACCTTGTTCCGCCCCTGTTTCACCGTGATGTCCAGCTGGTACAGGTGCACTAAGAGAAACACAACACCTACTGCGGTCATCCACGTCGCTCTGCACTTATCCCACCGGCAACGTGCAACTCAGCCCTAAAAATCGCTACACTGTCACTCGTTCATACGATGCCCGCTAGCTTCAGCAATGTCATTAAGGCCGTTCCGACCTTGAGCCCGCGCGGCAGGCCCCGCCATCCCTCACCCACCCGTGTTGGGCACCTCGCGGTACCAGGCCCGGTACAGCTCCCTGACGCGCCGCTTCGCCTCGCCCAGGTCCCGGCTGAAGATCGGCTTCACGGCGGCCGACACCACCCCTTTGCCCGCCACCGCCATCTTGGTGCCGCCGCCGCCACCACCTTCCCCACCGCCCCGGGAACGCGCGGGGCACGGCGGCTTTTCCTATTGGCCGGCTGAGCTGCCACTCCAGCCTTCCGGGCCGGCCGCGTCCCACCCGATTGGTCGGGAGAAACGCCAATCACCCAATCACCGCGCCGCAAGGGGCGGAGCAGCTGCAGGGCGGGCCCCGCCTCCCGAGGCCGTCGGTCCGCGCCGCCCTCAGCGCCGCTCCTCCCTCAGCGCCGCTCCTCCCTCAGCCCCGCTCCTCCCTCAGCCCCGCTCCTCCCTCACGCCGCGCTGCGCTGGGGGCGGCGCGACACGTCTGGTCCCTTGGGGCCCGGAACGCAGCGGCTGCTCTTCGGTCCCGCGACGGGATTTTCCCTCAGTACACTCTTCCATGCTGGAAAAGACACTCTCTACTCTAGCTATACCCACGTTGGTATCCAAATACACGAGTGCCAGGACCTCTCCAAAGTTCAGTTCTCTTTAAACACACTTGGGTATTGCTGGTCCCTATAAATCCGAACACATGCAGTTCGGTGTCATTGAACAGACCAGAGGAGTAACACTGGAATGATCTTGAAAGACTCCGGTGCTGGGTGTGAGGAGAGACATCTCAGGTGAGGATCTGAGGCAGGAGCACAGCAGGACTGAGGCAACCACAAACAGGAGGGGGGAGAATAAAGATTTCACATCACTTTTATTCTTTCAAGTTATGTTGTAGATGAAAAGCATAAATGTGCAAATGTGTAGTTCCTGATCAAGTTCAAATCTTAATTATGTTAATAAGTATTTGCATAGTTCATTCGCTTTCATAGCTTCCAAAAGTACTATTACACAAAATTAATACTGCACATGTGCACTCAATTTCAGATATTTTATTTTTTTTTACTGGTGGTTATACATAGGAGCTCCTTCGTGCTACTGTCTCTTTAGATGTGGTAAAGGAACTACTGCTAATTTAAACATCAACATATCTTTGCATCTTGCAAAACAATTTGTCAGGAATATTGCAGGAAGAAGGGAAATGTAGCTCTAAAATCTATGGCCATACAGTTTCAAACAGTATAATTCCATCCCTTTGTGAGTTCCAAACCTGCCCAAGAGCTGATGTTATTTAATGCAAAAAAAAAAAAACAAAACAAAACAAAACAACAACAACAAAGTTTTAATTAGAAGAGATAGTAAATCTAAACACCAGGATTTCTCTTTAAATTTATTTATCGAAATTTCTGTATTTCACAAATGACCTTCTTCTGTGGCTGAAACACCACATGGATTATTTATGTACTCCTTGGTATTTACTCCTACTGGAGGCATAGTGTGACATAAGGGTTGTCAGGATTAAAACTTACTTTCTTTGAGGCTATAAATTAAGACAATGCAATATTTGTTCAACATACAGAAGTGTGTAATAAACAGGAAGGGATGAAGGGGACATGTATGTCTTGGACAGTAAGATTTTCCAGAAGCACTACTCTGAAACTACATTTTAATGTCACCTTGTTGTTGAAGCTGAAGCTCTCTTGTTTGATTCAAGAACCACAACTAGAATTAAGCTCCACAAGATATTGGCCTAGATCCTTACTTTACACAGATGTAAAGACTTGAGATTGAACCTGGCACGATCCTGCTTAGACCTGCAATGTTCCTGACAGGGTTTGGCGGGGTGGTGGTCTGTGAGTGAAAGGAGAGTGGTGTGCACCTATCTTGGGAGAGCTTGCAAGAGGTATGGGTGTGGAGATCTAGTGAGTGCAAAGTGACCGTCCACCCGTGGCCTGGGCTGGCCCTCGGCGAGCACGAAAGTGAATTTCTGCAGGAGAGTGGTAAAGAAGAGAAAGAGCTCCATCCTGGCCAGCTGTTCTCCCGGACAGGCACGGCGACCTGCAAGAGAGAAGAAGAAGTGAGGATGTGTCTGTCAAAGAGGGCAATAATCGATGCTGGAATTGTCTCGGGGTGGGGGGGAGCAGATCACCCTCCTGCTGTGTCTCTGACTTGCTGCAGGATCCTCCCCTCAGATTTACCTGCTGAGAAGGGCAGGAAGGCCTCTGGTTTCACAAACTGCCCCTTTGCATCCAGGAAATGTTCGGGGTAAAACTCGTTTGGTTTCTCCCACATTGTCTCATCCTTCAGCACGGAAGACAAGTTGGTGATGACTGTCGTCCCCTGCACACCCCCACAAGAGGAAACATGTGAGAACAGCAGCATTGTCTTGGCACAATGGGACAGTGCTGGTCCCTCTTTAGACCGTGTCTGCCAACTAATAGCACCCATTTCCACTTCTGCATCTTATTTGAAGCAGAGGTAAAGCAGGGCCCTTTTCCAATGGCATACTGTGCTTGCTGAACACTCCGAAGCATCTGAACTTTTGCAATTTGTAGCCTTACAAAGGCTGTTGCATGCAAATGCCAATTTCATGGTTACACAGTGGAAACAGCCTCTGTTTCTCAGATCCTCCTGGACTTGTTTTATAGCTACAGGGAAAAAGCTGACTGACAGACTTCAAAGCCCAGCTTTCTCAGGGACCATGGATAATGGCAAAGCTTTCCTGTTTCACATGTCAAGGTTTTAAATCAGAGGAGATACTACACAGCTACAAAAATATACAAAAATATCCCAGGCTTGAATTCTGCCACTCCTGCCAGGACAGCTGCTTGACACAGCGAAATTGGTCTGAATGCCGATGGCATTTGGGTAGCTTCAGAGGCTAGAATTTAACTACTACCATCTCAGAAAAGACAGTAAGTTGGTGTTGAGTGCCTTCAGAGAGCCTGTTAGGCTTCTAACCGGCAGTGAGTATCACAGCTCATCGAGAGGAAAGGAAACCTTTGCATTAAGACGCCACTGCAGTTGCGTTCCCATACAACGTGTAAGCGTAGAACACAGATATGACCATCTGCCTGAATTTAACATTTCAAAATGTCCTATTTTAGTGCTCAGCAGTGACTGTAATTGGGGCTGGAAGTGCAACATTGCAGGGTTGGATGGGATCATCCCTACCCCATGCCTGGCACCTGCACAAGGAGAGGCTGCTGTATTGCTTATCTGGTCACAGCCACCTTGGGAATGAAGAAGCCTTGCAACTCAGTGTCCCGGTACGTCATGTGAGGTACCCCAACAGGAACAATGTCCCCGTAGCGTTGCACTTCATGGATCACAGCATTAGTGTAAGGCATGCTAGCTTGGTCCTTCATGGTGGGGGGTCTCTCTCTGCCAATCACTCCATCAATCTCTGCCTGGACCTTACCTGAAAGCAGAACAGATAAAGAATTAGAGGACCCTTAGAGAACCAGAAGCAGCTGGTACAAGCTGAAAGAAGACTGGCTGCGTGAGATTGTAGGCACTGTGTGAGAACAGGACAAGCAGAGACAGAAACAGAAACCAGAGAGGAAGGCCTTTTTCAGTTGACTGGTAACTCTGTATAACTGTTCTTTGCTCATAGCATTTTTAATAAAGGCCTTGCTGCTTGACATGCTACCTTACCTCCCCTCTATGCAGCTTGAAGGGTACCTGGCCAAGCAGCATTAGAGAATTTAAACCAATCAGTATCTGTTCCAAATACTGGAAGAGGGTACACTGACCACAGCCAATCCCCAGGTGAAGCCCTCAAAATGAAGGTAAGAGCGAACTTGCCCTTCAAACTCCAGGCTTTTTATCATGGTTACCCCCTGCCAGAACAGCTGTTTGGGAAGTGTTTCTCCTGTGTTTCTGCTAGACTGGCAATCACCAAAGCTGTTCCTCTTTGCGAAATCCTTGTGCAAAAATGAGTTTTGAAGGGAAGAGGCTACACTTCTGTAAGTAAGTTTCTGACTTACTCTGTATTTCTGGGTGGAGAAGCATATACAGCAATGCCCACCGGAGAGTGGTGGAGGTGGTCTCAGAACCAGCTGTAAACAAGTCCATGGTCACCATACGAAGGTTGTTATAGTGGAAACCATTCTCTTCAGCTGCCTTACCCTGTGGAGAGCAAAAAAGTGGGTGATTGGAGCTGGGGTATTTGCTGGGCAAGAAGAGCACTGCCCAGAGAAGTACTGAGAAGCACTAGATACATTTTTTAGCATGTGTTCCTGTTTTTAATTCCAAGAACACAGCACAGCACAAGCAACAATCTGAGCATGACTGATATGCTTTGTAACCCTGTTATGTCCTGTATTTGAAGGTCCTCAACCACCTCCAATATACTCAGAGAAGAATGCTACTTCTGCCTTCAGGAGAGAAGTAAACACCTTTTGCTTTCAGCTCAAACAGACAGCAGGCCCTTGCCACTCACTGTAACATCTTCCCTCAAACATCAGGTTTGATCAGATGATAAAAGCCACAGAGAGGAGGTTGCATTGATGTGGCAAATGAAAAATCAGCATAATTTTAAGGAGGTTATTTCTAGCTATGCATTATATATTCTCTCTGTTCCTGCCCTGGTATTTTTTTACTATTGAATAAAAATTAAAAAAAAAAAATCAGAGTTATCAGTTAAAGGATTATTGCTGCCTATTAAGTCTGCAATACCATTTTCAGCAAAACTGGTCTCTCATACAAATGCTAATTGAGCTCAAATTTGTTAGCATGTGAGATATGGCAAGCTCTCTGCATGAATTTGTCTCTTTGTCTTTTCTAATCCTCTTTATACTTCCTTTTCCTAGGGATTAGCTTCTGTTAAGTTATTCTGTATATTTAGATGCTGTTGTAATATGGATAGCAATTAATAATGCATTTAAGACTCAACTGTTATTCCAATAAAAGATCTCAGAGAAAGGAGTTTGGGACTGACTTGACCAAAGTTAATTAAGTTATCAGACTGGCTTATCAGGTGATGTTAGTGAACAGAAGAGAGGTGTGACAAGAGGCAGCACCCACCCCTAGGCTGTACTGCTCAGTGCAGAGTAATGTGGGTCATGTTGCTATGCCCATGGGCTGGAGGTGCCTGACCCCCACAGCATGGCAGGGTTTGTCATGCAGAGCAGTAGTCCAGCCTGAGGACTTGGATGGTGGAAGTGATTTGCAAGCAGAATTTGCTAATATTGCTCATCTGGCACTTGAAATTTAGTGAATCCATGTGCAGAAACATATGGCAGATGGATGGGCTGACCGAAGTATCTTTGATTTCATACTGTGTGCCTGACTGAATTCAAGGAAAGAGTCCTTTTAATTTCAGTGAAGTTCAGATTTAGGCCATCCTCTGATATCTAGCAAACTAGTTCTTAGCAAGCAATTCAAAAATATATATCCCAAAGGAGACACTCGTTTCAAATCATAACTTGGTTTAAAGGCAGGCTATGACACCAAAAAGTCAATCTGTTGCTCCAGCTTTGTGACTGATTTTGAGGCATCAGCCATTGAGGCACTGACATTACACAGAATATCGCATGCCAACTTCTTCCCTGGTGCAACCTTAGGACATTCAGTGAATTCTCAATCATTGCCTTTTAAAAGCCTTCATATTTTTGTAGGCTGGAAAGAAGGAAGTTCCTAGATTCTGAATGAAATGTGAAAGCAGAAAATGGAAACAAAAATATCAGCAGATAATACGGTGTCTTAAGACAACAAAAGAGGTTACGACATGAAGAATAACTTTCTTCTCAAGATACAAAGTGGAATGAAAAAGTAGGAAATTAGATTGTAAGAGGTTTTGTGCAGCTCTAGGAGGTAAGTCAGCTTCACAAGCTTGAACAAGGCAAAGAAATTACTTCTGACCCTGGAGGGTCTGCTAGTGTCACCCTACCTTCTCCATTTCCTGTAAAAACACATCCGTGATATCTCGGGTGTAAGCAGGGTCCCAGGTCTTCATATGCTTATCTAAGACCACATCTATGAAGTCCATTAATTCCTTTTGTGCTCGAAAGATTTTCTGTGGCACTCCAGGGATGTGCACCAAAATGGGCACCACGTTAAGAAGCTGGGGTGTGAGAACCAGAGAGAGTGAGAGAGAAGATATTACATGATGCAAAAAAAGAAAAATGAGGAAAATACAATTCTCTCAAGCAATAGAGGGCAGCTTCTTACAGCTTGTGGTTTACCTGAGGCAGGAATCCAGTTTCTTCATTCAAGGAATTTTGAAATAACTGTGACAGCTTCTTGAATGTCTTATCACCATAGTCAAAACGGTCTCCAAAGACAATGTTGCAGATCATGTTGCAGACAGCATTATTTATGAGAACATGTATATCAAAAGATTTACCTGAAAATGGAAATGGAGACCAAACCATGAAGCTCAGCAATACCAAACTGCTGGACCTCATCTGTAAGCAATGAGAATACTCAAATGCCACCTTGATGACACCAGGAGAAAAAGCCTCCAGAGCATCACACTAGGAAGTGAAGATCATCTCATTCTTACTAATATTTAGTTGCTCTATGTTTAAAGAAGAAAACTCCCAAGAAAAACTGAGCTGCAGGGTTGTTCTGTGACTTGACTGGTAACACTTTGTTCTGTGTCTCGATGACAGGCTGTGAACTCTCAGCTGCACTTTTATTGCATGTGATAATATCAATATGTTCCACTAAACTTCATAAAGTAGAGTTACTGAGCTCTGGGAATAATTCTATTTTACCTCTCTATTTCTAATTTCTTATTTGTTTACTGTTTCAAAGGGATTAGTGTTACAGCAGCTCTCCTCTGTAAAGCAAAATGCCCCCCAAGGAGGGCACATAGACTAGAAACACTGTATTTGCATGGGAAGAGAGCACTGCATGCAAACAGGAGTGGCTGTAGCATTACTTCTCTCTGCATCACTGTATTGCCTTTTTCTGTGATTTCCCCATCCTTGTGGATGTCACAAACCTTCTTTAGACTTGATTTCAGAACAAAGAAATCCAGCTTCTTCTACCACTCGCTCCTCCAGGGATTTCTTTCCCATCCCAAAGTCCCTCAGCGTAGAGAGCGCGAATCTCCTTATCTCCTTCCAGACGTGCCCGTATCTTGCTACAACAATCCCTGGAATTGTGGATGAGCAAGATGTGTCAGATATCTGACTTGTACATCAAGTGAATTTTGCTAGACAACAGCAATCATGAGTCTGGAGGTACAGGTCTATATAGATAGATGAAACAGCCTGACCTTATGCAGGTTGTTCAGACAGCAATTCTGAAATGGATCACTGCATCTTCTGTGCATGGCTGGCAAAGGTGCAGGGGGATTCAATGGGAGCAACAAGGGCTGCTAAGGATTCAGCAAACCATTCAGCATTGTTCCACCAGCTTGTGCCACCACACAGGAGCTGAGGATGTAATGTGGGCAGGATGCAGGAAAATACTGTGTCTTGAATGAAATTCACCATATTTTTTTGCAACAACTTACATGTAACATTTTGCATAAACATTTTGTCTTACATAAGCACCATAAGCACTTATTTGTGGGTGTTTGGACCTGGCAGAAAAGTTGTACGTTTTATGGTGTCCTTACACAGCTGAAGAAGTGTGTGCTTGCTGGAGCTGTACTACAACCACTAAGGGTAGCCCCCATTTAATCAAATCCGTGTTTGTTGCTACCAGAGGGTGCCAGACATACAAGGAGGTTGACCAGGGGGCACACAAAGGTGCACCGCACTGAGAAAATCTTGCTTCTACCCAATCCTTCTCATGCTAGTGCCATCAATGAATGTTCATTTTCATGGGAACTTGCCTTCAGAATTCTTTCCATAGCCCATGTGCTCGTATATTGCAAAGTGCGGCCGGTCAGCAAAGTCCTCCGATTTGTGGACCAGGGCTTCCTTCACTGTTTTATACCCATTCAGCACTACTAGGTTGGTCCAGCAGTTCTGGAGACTGAAGATGTTTCCAAACTTCTTCTGGAGCTGCCAAGATAAAAAAGCATGTCCCTGAAAATGAGCTGAATGCAACATCAGAAATATCACCGTATCCTTGCTTAGGGCATTTACTACTGAGTGAACTTTGAGGAACTTTTATTCAGAGATCTTCAACTGATCTTTGATCTTGATCTTTACAGTGCAACAGCTCCAAACAGTGCCAAGCAGCAGCTGTAGCAGGAATCAATGCCCTGTAAGTAGAAAAATTTAGAATACCTCTATCCTGGCCAAACTGTTGTCATGAACATTGTGCAAGTACTTTTAATTTTGTCAAGAATCTTTTTAGGGATTTTTAAAGACTGCATGATTGATAATGAATTTTTTCCTAATCTTTCTATTTATTTTGTTTTGAAAGACTAAGTAAGTTCTGAGTTAGTCTACTTCTGCTGAAGGAAATAATAAGATGATATGTAATTTCTATTAAAATATGCATTTGTACCTAAAGATCTACCCAGAGCCAGGTTTCCAGAAACATGGTTGGGAAAGGCAATTCTACACTGGAGTTTCAGGTCAGCTTTCTCCCTAAAATAAGTGTGCACATCTAGTATGACCAGTAACTAGCACACCCCCTACATCTGCTGTGATCTGTAAGACTCATAAAGCTGAATCAGGATGGCTGCACAGGTAATCCTCTCAGCCATACACTCACCATGGGAGCTGGCCATGGAGCAAAACCTTCTCCAGGTAGACAAACCCTTTAACGGGACATGGACTCCTGGGAAAGCAGGTCAAAGCTCCCTGGTTAGGAACACTGAGCAAAGCTCAGAAGCACATTATTTAAAGACAGTGCAATAGTAGCAATACCCCACAGGTTTTTTTTTTTTACTTTTATTTCTGTCCTTTTTTGTTTTGTTTAAAGTATAAGATTTTTTATTTCTGCACTGTAGCATTGCAAGGAATGAAATACTTAATACTGTACTTGCAGTAGGGTTGAAAAGGGAATTAGCACTTCACTGGCAGTATAAATTCAACATTAAAAATGATTACTGGTCAAGATTCTGGTTAGCATGACCCTGACATGATATGATTTGAAAATGGTAAGCTTTTGGACTACATGCAAGCAAATAATACAAATGCTGTATTTAGTTTCTCCACTTGGCAGGTTTTGGACAGGCAGCTGAACAGCACTGTCCTAGAAAAAAAGGCCTTTAGAGTTTGCAAGCTGAAGCACAAAACACCCATCGTTTATCTGCTGCAGGCTGTGAAAGCCCTGCCTTCCCTTTGAAAAAAGCTATGGACAGACTTTGAATAGTAATACTGAGATTTTGGGCATTGCTGCAGGGGCAAATTCCACAAGCTGGTCTCTTTAGCTGAAACTGTCACATGCCTGCAGGCATGCTTCAGTAAATCGCAGGGAAGCCTGCCATTCCCAGTACACAGATATTTGTTTGTCTTCCCTTGTTTGTACAACCTCCTGCTCCTTTGCCTCCAAGCCTGCCCACATGTCAGGCTGGCAGCCAGCTCTACAGCAGCAGCTTTCACTGGGGGCACAGCAGTGATCTCTCACTGAGCTCATACAGAGAAGGGGAGATAGAGGATGGGAAGTGCTGGTGAATGATTATCTCTTTGTCTGGGTGGGCCAGGTCAGAGTCCTTGAGCAGTGATCTGCTTCATCCTGGACTTTGGAGAGAGCATTGCCCCTCAGCTTTGTGCAGAGGTGTCGGAACTCAAAATGTCCCTCAGACATTTTCAGAGGTTCCAGGCCTTGGTCAGAAGCATTTTAGACCCTGGCAAGCAGCTGAAAACAGCTGTGATCTTGAGTTTGAGCCATGGAATGAGTTACCAACTTTGAAGGTGGAACAAGCGGTCACAGAGGGTTAGATGGTATAGCAGAAGTAATTACAAAATAGAGGGGAAAAAATTTTAGTATTGTACAGGGGGGTTTCAACACCTGTACAGGGGGGTTTTACTTTGTACAGGGGGGTCAGAAATTCTAAGATGGAGGAAAGTGGGCCTGATCCTGTTCTTCCTCCTTCTTCTTCCTTGCCTCCATGTTCTTGGTGATGCTGGCACTCATGGATTGGTTTAGAGTAGAAAAGCACGTTGTAATACATAGTAGGTATTGGGGAAAATCTGTAAACATATAACACGTAATATATCATATAAAAGATAGCAGCAGCCCTGGGCGGGGAGAGAGAAGAAGACACCGGACAGTGAGGGTGTCAGGAGTGTGTGTGTCTCTGCCTGGGCCGCTGACCAAAGCAGCCCCAGCGGGCGAAGACAATCTTTTAGATAACCAGCAATAAACTGCCTTGAGACCGAACAACAAGAGGTTGCGGAGCTTTTCTTTGGAAGCAAAGGTTGGAGGAGAGACTTTACCACCACATGAGAGCCCCGAATCAATCCCGGGGTTCTCACACAGAGGTAGTGATACTGAAGTTGGCCAAAAATAAACTTTCTAAGATAATTTGAGGTATTGTAAAGCAAGTATGCTTTACTATAGCACTGGACTCCTCTAATAGAATGAGTGTCATGAAATACTCTTTACAACCGGGTATTTATTCCATCATGATCATACATATTCATTGCAGCATGCTTCCCAGCTACCACATAAACATCACTTTTCCTAGGACTTACCTGCACGCATCTGCCTCCTACTGGAAGTCCTTTCATGGACCTAGAGGGTCATGGAAAGGTGTCTCTGGGAGTCGTACTCACCGAGTGCTTCAATATTACAGGTGACCTTTCCTTGAAATTTTCTTTGGTCATGTGTTCTTGTTTCTTGTTACGTAAATTGCCAAAACACCCACTATATTCCTCATTATCTGTTTATCCAGTTTCCAGCTTTGTTTACCACCCTGTGTGCATACTTCTACATTTTTATACTTTTACACTTTTATCTTTTTTTGCTAGTTAGTCTTAAAGCTCTACCTAGCAACTTCAAGGGAAATGAAAGTTCCTGTTCTCTGTGTTAGGTATCTATAGCTGATGCCAGGGTGTGACCCACCCCTCCTGGGCCCACGGTGGATTGCATGTGGAGTGTTTTGTTCAGGGGCTGCCACTCACCTGGCCAAAGGAGTGGTGGGGGTTGTGGAAGTCAATGGAGAACATGGTCCCAATGAATGGCAGCGAGGCTGGGCCTGGTGGGTAACGGCTCCACTTCTTTCTGCGCTTCAGGAAGTCCAGCAGTAAAGCAAACACTGTAAGAAAAACTCCCAGTATAGAGATGTTGCTCCAGATGGATGACAGCTGGGACCCCAGCCACAGGAGCAATGCCATTTTGTAGCCTGTATACTCCTTCCTCTTTTTACCCAAGACTGTCACTGCCTCCTTTTGCCTTTCCTCTTCTCCTCTCTCTCACTTTCTTGCCCTGACAGCTGCCCCTTTCTCCCTGCTTCCTCCTCTTCCCCACACTGCCTTTTTCTGCTGCTCCTCTCTCCCTGCACTGGCTGGCTTTGATTGCGAAACTTGGCTCTGCCTCTACGCTCCTCCTCTGCTCGGTTCAGCCTTAGGGGAGTGGTGATGGGGGTCATCCCTCCTCCTCCCCCTCTTCTTCCTCCAAGGCCGGAGCTCAGAGATCTCTGTTGCTGCTAAAAGTGGCAGCTGATGCTAACAATGCTCTTCAGTAGGGCAGGGCTGGGTGAGCCCTGGGTGTTTGCGTGCCTTCTTTCACAGACAAGAAGTTCACAAGTAACCAGTCTTGCTGCATTCTCATGGGGCAATTTGGAAAAAGGTTAATTAAATGTGTGTCACCTTCTTGTTAGTACAGGCAAGTCAAGGAAGAAGCAGCTCCTAAACCCAGATCATATAGGCTTATGTTTGCAGGCTAAGGATAGGAACGATTGGAAGTTGAGGAAGTTCAGGTTAGAGCAAACATTCCCTTACAAGAAAGCACTTACTACAGAATTTAGCTTGAAACAGTCCTCTGAGATTTTAAAAATAATTTATGTTTCTAGAATTAAAAATTTTTATCAAAATCCAAGTGTCAGTCAGCACAATGACCTCAGCTTTTGTAGAACACTGCTCAGCTATAAGGAAGAAGTTACATGTATTACAAGGTGCCTCAAATATCCAGCCTTTGGGGCAGAAGTAATGCCAACACAATTATGGAGTTAGTCAAAATATTTCCTAAAGCAGCACAGCTGTGTGCTCCTGGCATCCCTGCAATTGGAAATCAATAAACCTTGCTCTTAGGACAGTCAGCTTGAGATAAAAAGAAGCAGTAAACCCATCACAGCTTGATCTGTGATCTCAGTGTGATCAGAAAAAAAGCTCCTATTGGAACAGTTGCTGCAGCAGTGATGGAGAGCTCGGGCTGCGAGGCAATGCAGCTGCAAATGCTGTGCAGGCAGCGCTGGTGTGCAGCCAGGGCTTCAAGTGCCCTTTCCCCTGCCAGGGGAGGCACCTCCATGCTCAGTATCTGTGTGTTGACCTTACCTTGCTGGATTCTCCACAGCAGAATCCTGTTTAGAAAGCATCATAACTCAGGGTTCAGGGTTTGTCTCAAGTAGTTTTAAACAAACATGTAGAATGGAAACAGCTGGGGGAATTACCAGCTGCCACACCACTGCAGAATTGTGATTTCTTCTGAGTTACACAGACATGCCAGGGTGGTTCACACACCTGGAGAGCTGCCACAGTGGGCACAGTGTCTTCAGGAAGAAGAGGCTGGACACAGTGAGGAGTGGTTTTGTGCTGTGCAGAGGAGTGCCCAGAACTTGGCCATGGGAGAGGTGATGTGCCATCTGAGTGCCTGTGGACAAGGAGAAAGTGGCAAAGCGCTATGGGCAGTGCTGTGCCAGGCACTCACTACAGACTTCTTGGGAAAGGAGAGAAAGTCAAGAGAGCCATCCCACACAATCACAGGCCCTAGGGCTAACTCACAGTGTGCTTTAACTGGAGAGCTGCATGGTCAGGCACAATCTGGGAGGTTTCTTGAGTGTGCTCAAGACAGCTTCATGACACAGGTGATTGAAAAGACAACAGGAGGAGGTGCTGTGCTGGGTTTGCTGTTCACAAAATAGGAAGACTTGGATCAGGATATGATGATCAAGGATGAATTTGCCTGCAGCAACCATGAAACTGTGAAATACTGAATCCTGCAAGGAATCAGCAGTACACACATCATGACTGCCCTTACCTGCAAGAGAGCAGGTTTCATTTCATCTATGCATATCCTTTACAGGATCCCAAAGGGAGCTGCCCTGGAGAGTGAAAGGGCTCAGGAGAGCTGGTTGTTCTTCGAGAGCATGAGATCAGTGTGTCTCATTTATTTCCTGGGCACCACAAAGCCTTTAACACCATTTTCTACAGTAACCTTTTGGCTAAATCCATGATATACAGACTGGCAGGGTAGCTGATAAAGTGGGTGAATGATTATTCAGATTGCCGGGCTGAAATAAGTGGGATCAACAGTACAGAGTCCAGCTGGTGGATGATCACCAGTGGCATTCCTTAGGTGTTTATACTGGGGATGATAAAGTTCAGGTTATTAACAACATGGCTGATGGAACAGAGAGCATTCTTGGCAAGTTTGGCCTGGGAGAGCTGCCAGAGCTGAACTCTGTTTGTGGTGTAACCTGGAGGTTTGTTGGCTTTTGAGTACCCTCCACGTTTTAAACAGCTCTAGTGTGAGGTCTCAGGAGACAGAGCTGCAACAGTTCCCTACTCACTGGGCTGGCTTGAGCAGGAGATGGATGAATGATAAAAGGTGATCAAGGGCTTCCTCCCACACTGATTTTCATGACACATGCACTCAGATGACAGAAAAAATATGGGAAATGTGGTCCCAAGAATGTCAGTGGACATTTCCTCATCACCCCACCAGTAAAAGGATGTTACCTTGCCTGTTTCACTTTATTTTTAGCTTGATCTTTATGAACTTTGGCTGAAAGATATCCACGAGGTGCTTTTAGTTTTGCTTACCTTGGCTAGAGCCAAAGGCTGTTGGACTCCCATCATTCACCTGTGGGCTCTAACGAGGATGGTTGATCAGAATTCAGGAAGTGGATTTAATTCTAATTAACATCACCCTTCTGATGGAAGGCCACCAGAATAGGAACGCTCCAGCTATTCTGCTTCCATAACTCAGCCTTGACATAAAGTGACAAAGCTACAACATGAGAAATGAATTAGCTTAAGAAAAAAACCTACACTGATATGACTTCCCAATTGACTCCCAGTCTTTCCAAAAGGTCACTTGGTAAATGATCTTTTCCTGCAAACTTGACAGCTCCTCCACTTTTGGCTAGTAGCATGGATGGCCAGTCCTGCAAAGGAGTGGAACAACTGCTATAGCTTCATAATTTCAAAAGAACAGTTTTCAAAGCCAGCAAAGAAACAATAGACAACAAATCTCTTTCTGACAGAGAGAAAGAGAAATGGGTCATTATTCTTCTGAAGAATAAAATATGTTAATTTGCATTTCTTTTCAATAAAGTAAAATTTTGAGCAATTTTCAAGTCAGGGATAAAACTCTCCAAATCCATACATATTAATTTTAGCCAACTGCTGCCCTGCTGTGCTGGCTGCATGTGTTTGACTGTGCACAGTCAATTTAGAGACTGGAGGCCAGTGGGCAAACAGGGAAAGAGTTCATGGCCCTCCCCTGGAGGGAAAACCCCTCAGGTCATAACCTCACTGTTAGGGTGAGGCAAAAGGTGTCTCCCAGCATGCCTTGCTGTGACATGCAGATTTAATGTCTCCCATTGGCCCTTCCCCCTCGTTCCACTCCTTGTGCCCTCATCCCATTGGCCCTGGTGTTCTGCTCCACCCCTTGCAATCCCTATCTAACCCCTGCCTTCCCTGCCTCTGTGGCTCTTCGTCCCTGGTCTCCTTTGAGGAAGAAGCTCAATAAAGGCTCTCCTTGGAACCCCACAAGAAGACCCCATCTCTCCTTCTGAGTTGCCGTGACCACAGAAGAGCTGAAATCACCCGGCGTAGGCACAGACATTCCTGTGCCCCCAAGATGTTGTTTTCAAGACGCTTCTTCAGGAAAACTGTGGCATTCTGAACAACACCCGCCACAACAAGAGAGGAGCTAAGTGGAATTACAGAAGTTGCATGCAGACATCACGGTTCTTTGAGTGTTGACATTGAAATACAAGCAGTAAGGCAGCTTTAAGGAAAAGCTTATTAACAGTGCAAAACAAAGCATCCAGAAGCAAGATAATGCAGGAGTTGCCTTTTTGTTTTTTCTTTTTAAAGGCAATTTTAGTTTGAGCCTTTTTGTCCATATTGTCCATAAGATCATATTTAATTACAATTACATGCTATATTTCCTTTTTGAAGGACCCTCTCTTTATTCAGTGTACAGAATAGATGATGATCACTTACTAATCTGGTTTAATTACAGCATTTGTCTTCAAAGTCTATTTTGCCACCTACTGTTCACACCCTGCCCATAAAGGTGGTTTATATAGGCTTTTCCACAGTGGTCATCAGTGCCTGCATGGGTGAGGAGCAGATAGTCATTTGTCCCCAAAGCATTCCTCTGAGATGCCACCAATGGAGGCAAGTGACCTTCTAAGTGTTGGAACTTAGTAAAAGTCTAGAAGGTGCCACACACAGCTGTCCATGGCACATGCCCAGCTCCCAGCTGAGGCTGCAGGCAGCTTCTGCAGATCTTCCTGCAAGATCACAGCTTTGGCACCCTGGACATGGAGGTCACAGATTAGTGCCTGTTTATAAAACTTGTTGTTTCAGTAATTACCCAGCATCACATACTTTTCTCTCCACAACAGTGGGGTGAAACCCTTCCAATAACCAAAGAAATGTTCCTCTTTCCCTCCCTCTTTGCTTCAAGTCTGGAGCCAACCGGGAAACACTGGTCACATAGCACGAATATTTCCATGAGCTTTCAGAAATTTTTCAGAAATCCCAGCAGGCTGACTGCTTTCCCCTTAACACCTCAGATTTAAATGGACATAAACCTCAGCAATTTTTCATTCTGGAGGAGGAAAGCCTCTTGGAACAAAATTGGTCAGTGTGAAGCCTGCTGCTCTCATTCCCTGGCTATTCATCTCAGGCTACAGCAAAGCTGGGGCTGGTGAAGATCCCAGAAACCTTTCCTCTTTGGTGGCCTCTTCTAAGGCAACAAACCACATGGTCTCCCACCTAGTCCCAGACTTTTTTCTGATCCTTCCTCCACCTCCTTTTGCCAGCACACAATCCCTCCTTTGCCTGTTATGCCTTCACTCAGATGGTTTCCCTCCTGACCCTTTTGGTGCTGGAAGGGGCAAGGGGTGCCTGGCAGAGACCAGCTTCACACTTGTCATTCACCCTTAGCAGCCCCTGGCAGCCAGCAATAACCACCACCTGCTCCACTCAGACATCTCAGGGGAATTTTAGATGAAAAACTGAGAGCTCTTTAAGGTGCATGCAAACTGAGTTTTCAAGTGCTTGTAGCATAGCCAAATTTGAGCACTGTTTTAGAGAGCTGGTGCAATGTGTCTTCCTAACAGAAAGCTGCC